TTGGTTTTTGGAAATAGTCTCACTCTATAGCTCAGGCTGGCCTAGAATTCATTAGGTAGCCCAGGATGGCCTCAAACTCCTAGCAGTCTCCTGCTCAGCCTTCCAAATGCTAGGTTTACAGGCATGAGTCACCTCACCCAACTCCCCCCCCCTTCTCCTTCTTAAACAAATTTGAGTTACATTATTTGAACACAGAACCTGACCAGATTTGTGTGTGCCTGGTGTATAATCTGGTATAACATGATTGGTCTATTTTAATTAGAAAGTTCATTTCTGAGGATAATTGTGTTGCTAGTCTCAACGTAAGTTATTGGTGATTTTTGTTTTACTATCTTCAGTAAGAGAAACTGTACTTTGAGTAGTGCTTTGTTCCAGATATTCAATTAGTCACAAGCTGAAGTCCTTATATTAACTGTTCTTACCTTTAGGGAGGCCAGTGTCTTGAATGGGATACTTGTCTGACTGCAGAAACGGACAAAAGCAGAGAGTTATTTTTAAACGTCAGTTTTGAGATCAAAGTGAACAGAGAGCTTTGTGTTGGGTTTCAGAGGCAGGCTGGGGTGAAGCTAGCTTATCGGCAAAGTGCCTGCCTCGAATGCAGAAGGCCCCAGGTGCTGTCCCCGGGATTGCAGCATGAAGCAGAATTAAACCTTCCAGGTCTTTAGCCTCTGGCTTATTAGCAGGCCTGACTCACTGTTTTCCTTCTGAGTTGATATCAGAGTCAACGACAGGTTAATGTTGGAACGTGAAGCAGAATAATTCCCCCTCTTAACTTCCTTGGCTCTGACCACCAAACCACACTTCCTCTCTTCTCTGTTGTGCTATTCTTCCTCTCAACTTCCTGCAGCTTTATGCTCAGATTTTGTCTTGGTGCATTCTTAGAGTGCACGTCTCTTCTCACCATTTCTGTGATGCACATGCCACATGTGTGTGTTCTGGACAATAGTCACTGCTATAGACTCTGTCCTGGGTTTGAATCCTGGGACAGGACTCCGTGTTTGATAGTCTCAATGTTGAAAGGGGGTTAACTAAAACTGTCTAGTATTAAAAGTTGACACCAAACAAAGTCCTAGGAACATCTAAGGAGGTCACTGATGGTCTGCATGAAGCAAGAAAAGGATCTAACACAATTTTGTTGCTGTTTCAGAGAAGGTATCATGTAGCCCAGGCTGGCTTCAAGCCTGTTATATAGCTGAAGATGACTGTGTACTACTGCACACTACTAATCCTCCTGCCTCCACCTACAAAGGGCTAGGTTGCATGTATGCAGCACTTTACTGAGTTTAGGTAGTGCCGAGGATTGAACCCGGGGTTCCACGCATGCAGGGCAGGCTCTCTGCTCACTGAATCACATCCCCAGCAGAAGAGCTAACACTGGTTCTCGGCCTGGAAATGATGATGCCACGGAGGGTACCACATGTAAGATGTGCATCTTTGGCAAACCTCACTTTGGAGTTTCTGATCTCTCCTATAAATACTTGGTGAGCACAGTGTGATCTAAAAAGGCATAAGGAGTCCAAACTTGCCACCTACCATGGCAAAGGATAAAGTGCTGGGGTCCGTGTCCTCCACTGGCTCCTTTGCCATGTGATCTGGGGAGATAGAAATGGACAGGATTGTAATTGAGATAAAAGCACAAATTAGCTCCCTGACATTTTTACATCCGAATGAGCTTCCTTTTTCGGGCAATATAAATGTACTGTTAGTCACTTGTATGGTCAAGAGAGACCTGCTCTTGTTACTTCAAGGAAGAGAGCAAGGAGAAGAAACAGAAAAACAAAACCATGATACTCAGGACTTCTAAACAAACAAACAAACAAACAAACAAACACAAGTTACTTAAAAACATGTTCAAATACTGGGACTTACGACCAATGACAAATTATACAAACATCATACCAATCCCTGCAAGTGTTGCATATGTGTTTAGGCCAAGGGATAACCTGAAGTGTTGTTTGCAACAGTTCTCTACTTTCTTATTTTATGAGCTGGGTTCTCTCAGTAGTCTGGAACTCACCAAATAGGCTCCTCTAGTGCTTAGGTTGCAAGTAGGCACCACTACAGCTGGCTTAAAAGGTTCTTAAAAGGTTACATTGGTTCTGGGCCCAAATTTAGGGCCTCAAAACATTTACTGACCAAACTATCTCCCCAGGTACCAATGACTCTACCTGTTTAATTGGATGTAAATTTATTTAAGGATTTTATTCTGAATTCTGTATATTTACTTATTTCCTAGTCTCTGTGACTTGCTATTTATTTATTTATTTATTTATTTATTTATTTATTTTTATTGAAAGAAAAAGTCCTTTTAAGAGGCTGGAGTGATGGCTCAGTAGTGAGAAACATTTAAGACTCTTGCAGTTTGGTTCCCAGCACCCACTTGGAAGCTCATAACCATTTATAATGCCAGTTCTAGGGGATCTGACATCCTCTTCTGGCTTCTTCAGGTACCAGGCACACATATGGTGAACTTATATACATGCCTTAAAAACACTCATAAAATAAACAAATCTAAATTTTTTTCCTTTTTTTATATTTTTTATGTTTTTTTTTTAAGATTTATTTATTTTATGTATATGACTACACTGTAGCCATCTTCAGACACACCAGAAGAGGACGTCGGATTCCATTACAGGTGGTTGTGAGCCACCATGTGGTTGCTGGGAATTGAACTCAGGACCTCTGGAAGAGCAGTCAATGCTCTTAACCGCTGAGCCATCTCTCCAGCTCCCAAATCTAAATTTTTAAAAAAATAATTTTAAAACATTAAGCTTCTTGGACTGGGGAGGCAGCTCAGCAGATAAATCATTTGCCATGTGAGTGTGAGGATCAAAGTTTGAGTCCCCAGAACCCTTATAAAAGCCAACCAGTATAACTGCTGTTATCCCAGCCTTGAAGGGGCAGAGACAGAGAGGATCCCCAGAGCAAGTTGGCTAACCAGACTAACTGAAATTGGCAAGCAGAAGGTTCAGCAAGAGACCCTTCTTAATGAATAAAGGGGTGACCCTCCCCCAGTGAACCAAGGGAAGACCCTTCCTCCATAAATAACATAGAAGAACAATAGAAGATGTTTCTCAACATTAACCTTAGGCCTCGACATGCACACGCACACATGCCTATACATAAAACAAAACAAAACACATATACACATAAACATACCACATACACATGGGGGGAAATGGCTTGTTTCTGAGACAGGCTGAAACGGTCTTCAGCGGTCTTCTCAACCTTCCCAGTGCTGCTACCCTATAATACAGCCCCTCATCTTGTGGTGACCTCCAACTGTCAAATTGTTTTTGTTGCTACTTCATAACTGTAATTTTGCTACTGTTATGAATCATAAATAAATGTCTGTGTTTTCTAATGGTCTCAAGCAGCCCCTGTGAAAAGATTATTTGACACCCCTGAATGGGTAGTGACCCACAAGTTGAGAACTGCTTGTCTAGAAGAAACATGCATTAACACCTATACAAGGATTCTCCTATAAATAAAAAAAAAAAAAATGCGGGACAAGAGACAACCTCTGGGATTGGTGGTGGTATGTGCCTGATTCCAGTACTTGGGAACTGAGGCAGGGGGATGTGAGTTTGAGGCTAGTCTGAGCCATATAGTCTAAAACGTAAATAAATAAAGGTTTGAGGAAAAAAGGACATAAGAGGGGGATGACTGTGGCAGGAGCAACGTCACCCGCAGCATCCGTGCGGAGCAAGCAGGGCTGCTAACAGAAGAGAGCACAGCCAGTGTGTCAGAGGCCTGGACCCTCATCTGCACTCCTGTTGAATTTGGGTAAACCTTGAGGTGTGCCTTGGGGGAGACTCTAAATAACCTCTGATGAGGCCTACGGCGGCGTGATGTTGGCGTTAGATGGGCTTTAAGCCGCCTACACCCTGGACTCTTCCTCTGATACATGAAATTAAATTCAGGTCCTCTGGTTCCTGGATGCCACAAGGCCCGATGGTCACTATTCAGGCTAGACATGGAGGTTGGTTGTACTGGGCAGCTGACCCTCTTCTCCTCAGAACCTCACCGACGACTGTGATATGAGAAGGGTGATCTGGGAGAGCTTGAAACCAGAAGAGCTTTTGCTGGTTTGCTTTCTGAAGCTCAAGAAGTTCCCAGAAAACTCAGGAGAGGCGCATTGTGAATTAAGGCAAGAGGTATGTTCAAGTCTTTTGTTGTTATTTTTGTTTTGTTTTGGTTTTGGAGATAGGTACCCATAGGGTCTCCTGATCCACCTGTCTCTACCTCCTCAGTGCTGGCATGACATTAGTCTGACATTTCTCCTCGGTTTGGAGGGTGCTGGGAGTGAAATCCGGGGTCCTTGAACCTGGCACTCACTCCCCCTGCTGAGCTACACTTTCAGCCTCTGCATTCTTATTTTCATTCTAAATGCTCTGACTGCCTTGGCCTTTGCTGTACACTAGGCTGTAGCTCTTTTTCTTACGTCTGTCAAATGTGTTCACAGACCTGGGTTCATGGTGGTGCCCCACTCACTACCTCTGATCCAGTGCCTTCTCCCAGCAGCTGTTTTAGGTCAGACCCAGCTGCTTTTGTTCTCACAGGCCCAGAGTTGTGTGTGCCAAGGAGGTCGTATGGGGGAGGGCTGTTCCTGGTTATTTGAGACAGATCTAGAAGTAGAAAGTCTTTTAAAAGCCTTACCTGGAGGCCTTGAAGTTGAATGTTTACAATATGATTAAGTATAAAATCAAATCGTTTATCTAAAGCTTGAGAATGTTTGTTTTTACAAGCCCCAGGTATCAGCAGGTTGAGCCCACAGGCAACGCTCCAGTGCCAGATGGGATGTGAGGCACCAAGGGGCCTGAAACAGAAAGGGGGGATATGTGAGCCCCAAAGAGGGCATAGCTAGATCTTTTCTGGGCTGATAGGGACATTCCCCTGCCCCAGCTGTCACCCACTGTCTGGCTAAGTTTCCTTTCCAGAGTTGCCTCAACCACTCCAAACAAGCTCAGATCACCCATCAGCCTGCAGCTACCTGATGCATTAGCTGATGTTCCTTCCTCACAAGTACCTTCTAGAGAGTTCTACCTGGCAAACCTATGCATGGGAGTCCCTGGGAGGGTACCAGAGACCCTCAGCACCCTGATTCAAATGAGAATGAGAAGTCCACATCATCCCTCAGAATCTCTGGACCACATATCCGTTACCTGTTATATTAGGAGTTAAAGAGAGTCAGGTGTGATAGCACATTTCTAAAAGCCCAGCAGTCCAGAAATGGAGGCAGGTGGATCATGAGTTCAAGGCCAGCTAGGCTACATATAGACCACCCTGAGCTATATATAACAGAATATATCTCAACAAAAGAGTGACAGTGAAAGAACAGTCTCTGGCAGTGACTATGGGAAGTCCCAGAGTGAAAGGCGTCTTGAAGCTAGAAGTGTCTAGCCCTGTAACCTGAAGAAACAGTTAGAAATTCTCCTTCCCTTATGTCTGCTCTGCACCACACTACGTGTACAGTCTGTGTGATATCTTGACATATGTGTGTTGTTTTCTCCCCTCAGATCCTGCTTGAAAGTCCTTTCCCAAGGCAGGCCATCCAAAGCCAACCTCTTCCACCTCAGTCTGGGAGCTGTACATCAAAAATTCTCCAGCCTACCTCATCTGATCTTGTGTTTGAGAAGGGTCTCTTACTGGGGGGTGTGGGGTGGGGGGTGAGGGAAGGGCCTCAACTGACATATTCCTGAGGACCAAGGTTCTTGGCATTAGAACAGCCTCTTTGTCAGCTCATATTTTCAACACACAGGGTTGTTCTGGCTTCGATCAAGCTCCTACAAGGAAATCTCCTCATAAACTCAAGAAGAAGCATTTGGCTGGAGGATCAGTTGGTAGGTAGACTTCTTGCCTAGCATCCGCAAAGCCTGGGGTTTTATGTATACTGGGTTATACATAAACCCAGTATAGTCGTGAGTGCCTATAATCACAGCACTCTGGGGGTGGAAGCAGGAAGGTCAGGCTCTCAAGGTCATCCAACATAGCTAGCTCAAAGACAACCTGAGCTACAAGCGCCCTGGCTAGCTAAGCATATGGACACCTGGATGGCGGCACCCAGAGAGGACTGGGAAGCTTCACACCCCTTCTTCCCCCATGGCCCACTTTGACTGTCCGTCTCCTTTGAAGAATCCTTTAGGGGTTGGAGGAGATGGATAGCTCTGTGATAGAGCAATGGGTTCCATCCATCCCATTACCACAAAAAACAAACAGAAAAAATAGTAAAGGTTAGGAAACATTTTTTTCTAAGCTGATTGGAATTGTCAGAGGCACAGATTCATCAATATGGGGCAGGGAATCTTAGGGAAGGTGGCAGTCTTGGGGACAGGTCCTCAACCTGTGCAATCTTCTACTGCTTCCTTGTAGTATCAGGATTAAGCTGGATGAGAGGAACCCCCTGGTGGTGTCCTCTGACCCCTGCTTACTGAGGAAGGGACCCCAAACCTTTCATGATCACATAAATGGCTTGTGTGACAGAACCTCAGCTAAGCCTTGCAGCCATCCTCAGAAAGCTGAGTACCCTCTTGTCCACAGTGCTCGCTCTTCCCACTGTGAGCTCTCCACTGTGTGTGCCCAAACTCATGGA